CCCCCTCGATACCCAGCAGAACTATTTTGCCCTTATCTCTAATTTTGTTGGAGAGTTAAGTAATAATAGAAGAAACAAGGGTTTTTGCTGTTGAGATAAGGATAGCTATACAGGGTTGACTCGCATTATTTCCTGTGCGTGTGTGTTACTTCTAGGTTATTCTTTTTGATCTAACCTTTTCTAGTTCCTGGTCCCCTTTTCTCCTGTTGGCTTAGTTGATTTAAGTATGTGCTTTAGTTCTCTGCGTTGAGGGCAACAATGCTATCTAGTTTTAGGTGTCTTACCTATCCCACCTTCCTTGTGGTGCTCTCGCTTTTATCATGTGACAAAGTCAGTCCCCTTGTTGTGTTGCCCTTGATAATGTTCCACATATGAGGGAGAACATACGATTTTTGGTCTTTTGGCAGGCTAACCTCACTCAGAATGATGTTCTCCAATTCATCCATTTACAGCGATGATAACATTTCGTTCTTCTTCAATGGCTGCATAAAATTTCCATTGTGTATAGATACATTTTCTTAATTCATTCGTCAGTGTGGGGATCTTGGCTGTTTCCATAACTTGGCTATTGTGAATAATGCTGCAATAAATGGGTGTGCAGTGCTCTGGAGTAGTGTGTCGCAGTTTTTGGGTATATTCCAAGAGTGGTATTGCTGGATCAATGGTAGATCATGTTTGCTTTTTAAGTAGCCTCCAAATTTTTTTCCAGAGTGGTTGTACTAGTTTACATTCCCACCAGCAGTGTAAGAGGGTTCCTTTTTCCCGCATCCTCGCAACACCTGTTGGTGGTGGTGTTGCTAATGATGGCTATTCTACAGGGGTGAGGTGGACTTAGTGTGGTTTTAATTTCCATTTCTTTTATTGCTAGAGATGGTGAGCATTTTTTCATTTGTTTTTTGGCCATTTGAATTTCTTCTTTTGAGAAAGTTCTGTTTAGTTCACTTGCCCATTTCTTTATTGGAGAACCTCTATTTTAAATAAGGTCTTTCTTTCTTGATTTACCTATTTACTCAAATAAGTTAGTGGGTGAAGCAGAAATGTCTGTGAGGTGGTTTTTAACTTTGGTGATTGTAAATGGTGGTTCATTATTCTAGTCTCCCAACTACTGTATGTGTCTAAGATTTCCCAAGACCAAAAGTAAAGTCAGCAAGAAAAGGGGACCTGTAAGATCGCTGTAGGTAGAAAGCTTTGAAATGTACTCATCCAGAGCACGGGTATAAACAAGAAACATTATTCCATTGATGGAATATCCCATGAGAAGGGATAAAGGCTGAATTAAGAGGAGAATGAGATAAAAATTTCTATGTCAGAAATTTAGGAGTTGTGCAGACTGCCAGTGAAGGGTTGTACGTAGTTCCATTAAAATGAACTGAAACTTGACTGCATGAGTAAGAGCTCTGAAAACAAAGGTAAGAGCAGATACTTCTGAAATGCAGAAGGTGGCTGGGAAGAAAGAAGGAGTAAAGTGGGAAGGGCAGTCTCAAGGGACATTTCTGCCCAGGGGTGTCCTGAAGGCGACATCACTTAAGTTGCCTATTTGTGCTTTTATCAGGTTCACTGATGAAAGTGTCCTGAGTTCATTACTAATTGAAAAGTAGATAAAGGGTGCTGAGACAAAAGGGGGTCTGATTAAAAAGGACAGCAGTAAGACAGGAGGCTAAGACAATAGAAGTTAAGGAAGTGATAAGACAGGTTTGGCAACAAGTTGAAAACCAGTAGATTCGCAATTCCTGCTCTTTCTATTAGGAAAGTATTGTGCTTGAAAATTGTGTTTCCACTTGAGTGTGGAAATAAGAAGGCAAACACATTTTGCTAAGATTTTCTTTAGGTTAGTTGCATGACTTAAATGTTTAGGGTGATTTAACCCTGGGAATGGAAGAATTTATTTTTTTCATAAGTGGTAACAGATTTTAAGAGTTGAGTTTATGAAGAAGAAAGCCCTCTTAGAAAAAGAGTATTGAAGGTGATATTTTTTCTATTTAACTTAAAATAAACTGTGGAAGTGAATTTTTCAAGTCTCTGACTTGGAAATCAGTTCTTCATGCTTTATTTGATTTTCCATAGAAAGGTGTGGAGTATTAGATATTTAATTTTTTAACATAATACAGGTATGTACCTTAGTTCAAAAATTTATGGTCTTGTTGAAATCAGTTCTTTTTCTCTTAACTACTACACATCAGCAAAACATTTTTCTAAACTATGAAAATTAACTTTCAGGAATCGTTTGGAGAATGGTCAACTGTAGCCATGCAGCCATCATACTTAAGTTTGGTTTTGTATACGACTTGTGTGTATTTCGTAAAATATACTTTATTTTAAAATTAGGGCTTCCTGTTGCAGCTGTTCCAGGAGCTCTGAGTCCTTTGGCTATTCCAAATGCTGCTGCAGCCGCTGCTGCAGCTGCTGCTGGCCGAGTGGGTATGCCTGGAGTCTCAGCCGGTGGCAATACAGTCCTGTTGGTTAGCAATTTAAATGAAGAGGTCAGTAAGATAATTTCCTAATGTTCTTTAGCTCCATTTCATTTGTGAAAGTCTTTCATGTTTATTTCATTTTGCACTTGCCTTTCTGTTTATGTACATTCATTAGCCAAAGAATTTTCTGTGTTTCTACTTCCAAATAAAATCTACGTACTTGTTTAGGTAATGCTTTATCTCCTTAGACAGCCATATCTCTTTATATATATATGTATATATATTTTAACCTAACTACCTATTTTTCCTAAGAAAAATATGGTGAAGTACCATAGTTTGGCTTTTTATCTTTTTGTTGTTCTCAAAGGCAAATGTGATCTAATTTGCAAGTTTAACTGTAAGACAATTTTGCTCTTTGCCTTTTCTAATTATTTGCTTGTCCATTTCATGCTTATATGTCATTGTATTTTTTTTTAAATCTTATGTTATGTGAACTACTCTAATACATTTTTCTTTGAAGGTTCTTCCAAAGATCTTGACGAGGCACTCTTCCAGTCTCTCTTAGTAATTTTTTCTTTGCAGTTATTAGTCATTGTCTTCTAAAAATATTTTTCAACTTTATCCCCCCCCCCTTTCTTGTTAAGTAAATTGCTGTTATTCTCTTTAGTTGTACATTTTATGTCTGGTATATTTTATTTTGATTGCTATAAAAGCTGGTATGAAATGTGGGAAAGCCCAGTATATCAGTTTAAAATGTCTAATTTGTACACTTGTCTCATTTTTAATTGGCCTCTGTTAATAATGACTGTTAAACTTATTTTACCATTTAATGCTCTTTTTATCATTCATAGTTCTGCATGCTAAAATGTCGGCATCAGAGTGCCTTTGTTTTTACTTTTAAGACCTTTGCCTGCATTTCATAACCAGCCATGCTTATGCAGTTAAAGTTCAAAGTTTAAAATTCCTGTGCATGCTTTCCTTCCCTATGTTGAGATGAAATGCTGTAATTTACTCTGATATAGATGTACTTTACCCATATTTGTCTTGGATGACACTACATTTTACTCAGTTTTTCTTGTACAGTACATAAACCAACCATTTTTCTGACCAAATTCCTGCATTTCCTATGTACTGACCTATATTTTATTTTTTTTTTGTTCCCCAATTCCTTATTTTTTTCTTCTGCATTGCTGTCTCCCTTCCCCATTTCATCGTTTACCCTGTGTGTTCACCTCCCTCTCCTTGTCTTTTCCCCAATGCCCGCTCCCTTCCCTGTCTTTCCTTTATCTCCCTTGTCCTCGCCTTCATCCCCTGTCTCCATCCCTGTGTTCATGCTTCTGTGCTTGAACAAATGTTCCTCGGACCAACTTGCCCCAATTAACCGCCTTGAACCATGATCCATGACCACCTCACCATTCTGCGGGAACCACCCTTCGTTATGGATGATCTGTTCATCTCCGCTCTTCCTCGACTCTTCTCTCTTCTTGTCTTACGCTGCTTGCTCTTCTCTCCTTCTAAAGATGGTTACGCCCCAAAGTCTGTTTACCCTCTTCGGTATGTTATTGTTAGCACTATACTTTTATTATTGATTTGATTTTTGTTTCACCTTAATTCTTATTTGTAGCTAGCACTTTGGCTTAAAGTTGAATAGTAAATCTTTTGCTATTTTCCTTTGCTATTTAAGACTCTCCATAGACACAAAATTTGTTTTAATGCATGCTGATTTATTTTGCATGGTTTTTAATTTAATATCATTCACATAGCTTTGAGGGTTTATCAAAAATTATTCTTTTCAAAATTCACTGTTCAAAATCTTGATCTCCTTTATTCATTTGTGTGAGTGATGAGATTGAATGAGTGATCATGTTGATGTCTGAATGTTTCATTGATTTGTCAGAAAGATAATCTTTAGCTGACTTGCATATAAATTAATTCCATTTTTGGATTACCTCTCTGTGACTCCAAAAAAGGTGTTTATGGAGATGTGCAACGCGTGAAGATTTTGTACAATAAGAAGGACAGTGCTCTCATACAGATGGCCGATGGGAACCAGTCACAACTTGGTAAGATTAAACTCCATGTTATTTGTATGTTTTTAATTCTGAATTCACATACACAGTGTCAACCTGTGAATAAAAGTAAGCCCTTTACATTCATAAGAAGTCATGTTTTAAATGGCTAGGGCTCAGAATATCACCTTAATTTTCATAGTTTTCTGTGAATAGTTAAACATGGTGAATGTGCTTGTGTTTTCTGCTTTTTCCCCACCATTTCTCAAGCACAGTCTAATGGAAAAAGATTTTTGCTCCGAAGTTGCAATGAGTTTCGCATAAGAATTGGGATTTATATTGGAGATCTTTCTTAAGGGCTTTCATTTCTGACTACTTCCTGTTTTAAGAACTACCTGTTCATGTAATCCATTGAATCTTGATGGTATTTTAGTTCTTCTAAACACACTTTTGAGTATTTGCCTAAACTTAGGAATAGTAAGAGTCACTTGGAAAATGTCTTTAGATTTAATAAGTTGCTTGTAGTAGTGTTAATTCCTCTATTTAAAATATTAAAATATACTTCACTCAAGTTACACTTGCATCATTACTTAGATCAATAATTAATGATTTTAAGTAAAATTTATTTTATTTGCACAAAATCAAATCACATGAATCTAGACTATAATTGCATATTTACAATGTTGTTGCCTAA